GGAGAGGGTACCAATCTGGTTACTCATCACCAGCAAACATAAAAAGAATACAAGTGTAAGAGAAGGATCGGGACCAGCCAAAACCAATCAGGGCCGCTGATGGGCAGTCAGAGACTAACAAAAGTACCCAGTCAGGGCCGCTGATGGGCAGCGGGAGACTAACAAAAGTACCCAGTCCTACCTGTCAAACTCTGCTTATTTTGCAGTTTCAAAACCAGTTCCTTGAATTATGGAGTCCATGATCAATCAGAGACCATGGTAATAAGTGGAGATGGAAAAGGACAGGAGACTAACAGAGTGGTTTGTAAATGTACCAAAGAGCAAGTAGATGGCATTTGTTTAAAGAACTCCATTTGGATATGGTATGCATGGCTTACAAAGTTACGAATCATTCAACGATCAGAAAATGTTCCTTCTGAAACATGCAGAGAAGCCTCCCAGGTACCATCCTAGGAAAAGGTGTCTCTCATTGGATGGTAGCAAAAGTGAGTTCCCTGGTGACAGATAGTGAAGAGCAGATTCACAATGAGCAATGGCCAGCAAAAGAGGGATAAGGTACAAAGACAATCGCTAAATGCAGAAAGTGTAATGATTCTCCCATTCTGATCTCACACTGCTGTAAAATGTGAAATAAACTCTCTCTCGTAGCATCGCTATCTACTTTCAACATATTTTACACCATTGGTGCTGGGCGGGCTCTAATCCCCGTCAAGCTTTTCACCCATGACCCTGCTCAGTATGTTTCATTCTCACATTTGCCCCCATGGAAGTGGCACCGGACATTTTGACATAGTGCACACACACACACACACACACACACACAGAGCACATTCACAAGCTAGGCTATTTGGGCTTGTGCTCAATGCTCATAAGGGAGATCAGGTTTGTTGTTTCCACTGATTGAAAGGAAAACAATATGTTCTTTGATGATCCCATGTCACAGTGGTGTTCGTCACAGACATACACACCCAAGTTCACATCAATTGAAGCCATCGTCAGTTGCGCTGTTAGTACAATGGTTATTGAGGTACGACTGACCAGCACCTTCGAGAAACAATGGGTGTGTGTGTGTGTGTGTGTGTGTCAAAAGAGAGAGAGAGCAGACAAGAAGGGGAGAGAGAGAGAGAGAGAGAGAGAGAGAGAGAGAGAGAGAGAGAGAGAGAGAGAGAGAGAGAGAGAGAGAGAGAGA